ACAACGCCAGAACGCAATAGGCTAACTATTTTTTCATGCAAGATTTTGAGGAAATTGTGTTCATAAAATGTAACGACTAACGGCATAAATTGTACAAATGTAGTGGAGTAGAAAGTACAGATAATTGCCGCAAAATGTAATGGAGTAAAATAAAAAGTATGCATTATTATTTTTACTTAAGTACAGATACGTAAAAATGTACTTAAGTACAGTAACGAAGTACAAATACTTAGCTACATTCCACCACTGCCTGTGACACACCAGTCCTGGACAAACAAGAACTAGCAGAGAGGGAGTGTGGCACACGCTGAAGGTGTGGTGACCGGGAGATGGGCGCCACATGGGCGCGGAGGGAGGATCCTTCGTGAGGAAACTGCAGAGTGACCGGGAGCCTCACCAGGGTGCTGAAGACCTGCTTTTCAGGGAGGGGCACCCTGCAGGAGAGGCAGTCCCTCTGGCAGTCGCAGTGTCCCGGCACAGTGAGGCAGAGAAGCAGCAGCAGAGTCAACAGGGGGGTCTCCATGGTGCAGAGAGGGGGGGTACGTCCTTGGGATCTGTGTTTGAGGGATGGGGAGAGGTGAATGGAAAGCAAAAAGCTCAGCAACTGGTTTGCATGTACAATCACTTTCACGTTTGCATGTTTTTTTGTGGGATTTCAGCAGCCCACCCCATGGGGGTCAGCAGACAAAGGGGTCCTACCAGAAAAACAGCCACACTAAGGAGAGGATGCCCTTGTCACTGCCTGTCACAAGTTAAACGTATATCTCAGAAAAGTTCATGTTCACGATGTATTAGCCATCCATTAAGTAACGCTGGGGTGTCTTCTGCACCGTCCCCCCCGATCATGACTTACACGATTTGCAGCATGACATCTGTTTTCTATAAAGGAGCCTGATTTCAAACTTCATTAGCGAGGCTCATCGTTTGCCAAATTGATGTGAGAATTAGGGCCTGTGGTATAATAGGGAGGAATTGAAAACGGGGGGGGCAGGGCTCGGAGCTCGTCGAGCGCTGAGTCACATCGAAAGCGAGTTCATCACGGAGCAGATAAGAGCCAGAGAAACAAGAAAGGGGGGGGCAGGCACGGCGAAAGGCAGCGGATAGATAATCTGCCGATCTGCCTTCATTCAGCCAGGATGAAATCCATCATCTTTAAAAAGTGCCCAAGGATCCCTTTAATATAGTCTGAGTCCCGCGGTGTTCATTTGCTGCTGCTGTTGAGTTTTTTTTTAATGAGCTAAAGAATCATTATTGACTCTGTCAATTGCTTATTTTGGCTAATAAAAAATCCCACATAAGACAAGCAGATGTACATGAGGTCATATTACTCACGACTGGATAAGTGAGCAGAAGGTTGATGAATGTACATTTCTAACAGGTTATAAACGAGCACGAGTTGATGGTAGCACTCCTGGCATTTTTACGAAACATAACATGACACGAGAGCTTACAAAACGCCCTGGTTAAGGGTGATAATGTGATTTCTTGACATCTGCAAATATAATCATTCGCCTCATTGAGGGGGTCATACGCCGATATGAAATTTTCCCCTTACAAGCTGCTCATTCTCAGCCGCAGTGGGTGTCTGTGCTCCTGCTCGATGGCATGTATCTAATCGTGCCCATTTGGCTAAAACACACGAGGATGTGACAAGTGGAAGAAGCAAAGCCATGCTGTTCAGCCAGTCCCAGTCGTGAGTGTATTTAATTAATATAGGGTTTTTTATTGTCTAAGTGCCATATTGAGGGGATAGCAGACTTTGCACTAACTAGACAGCTCATTCTAAAGCAGTCACAATCTTTATTTTATTGTTTTCATTGCTCTGGTATTCCATAAGATAGCCCCTTAACTGGTACTAATGTTTATGGACAATACTAAAAAGTTATCATACACTAGGTCATTTCCCCCAATAACTGAGATTTTTCCATCGCATAATTGCAGAAGAAATTTCTCAGGCGAGAAAAACCTTTCTGCCGCAACATCCTTTTTCAGGCGGAGCATCAGCCTATGGTTTTATACAAACACTACGTACAAATATCAATTCAGTTATATGTATTTACAGACACAGCAGAGCATTCTTTTGTGGTGCTATAAGAGGAACAGGGACACATTAAATTCTTCTGGTGAGACATGAGTACGCCTCGTGGTAATTTCTGCTTTCTTAAATAAATTACCTTCACGTCACCATCTTATATCTGCCATTTTTTAAATCGATTGCCTTTTAAGATACCAGCTTTACTGTCCGATTTCGTGGCATCTGAGAAATGTACACATGCATGGCGGTACACATCAGCTTGACAGACTGTAAAAAGTAACAGCCGTAACGTTGCACCCCTTGGCCCAGGAGAAATAGAAGTTGCACTTCATAAAATAAAAAATTACGTCCTATTTGCGAGCCATTTCAGTATCCATGGATGTGTCCCGATTTAAATTCCAGCAATCTTTGTTTTCAGGACCAATCGTTTAAGTTGATCACGTATGAGCTTTTAAAGAAAATGTGCCAAGCAACACGCAATAGTAATATTTATTTTGGCATTTAAAATTTTGTCTTCTAACTTGAACATCATTGAGAAATTGGTGCTTCATACATTTATTACCACGTCTTCTTCCTATATGTCTTTGTAGTCAGTTGTTCTCTTCATCTTGCAGATTACCGGCTTTAACAGTAAGAATTAAGCCAAATTAAGCCTCCCATTCTCCATCCCTCTAGTGCAGTATCACCAATTAGCGATCATCACTAAATGATGACTCAGCTGCCCACTGCGTGAGCGAGACCCCAGATTAAAGTCAGCCCTTTATTTAGTGCTTTAAACACTACCCTTGTTCACAGAAATGACACAAATGCTTGTGAGTCAGATATGAAATGATATACTAACATTAATTAATCAATCAGCTCAATGAAAGTTTCTTAATTTTAACTTCACAATTACCACCATAAAATGCGGCAAGCTGGGCTATTAACTTGTAATGACAAAAAAGTATTGATTAGAAACACTACGGCTACTGCTGTTGCCACAAAATTGTAATTACTACATAGAATATGAAGAAGCAGACTTCAGAGAATAACCCAGTGGAGTGTGAAAAATCCTCGGCGTTCCGAAATAGAAAATTAAAATGTACAGTAGTCAGGGACTCGGCATGGAGAAACATTCAGCCCCGAGGAGATCCAACGGCAATAATACCACGATTGAGCTGCCTGTTCACGTATTCTTGTCATTTTGTTTTCTCATATCTTGGTGGGTGGGGTGTGGGGGCCACTGCCAGCTTAATCAGTCCCCGAAGAGGCAGCGGCGCACGTGCGCCTACTCTACCTCTATTACGTCACGATGGTCTCTCCAAATGTTATTCTCAAAGGGAGGCAGGACAAGTCAGAACTAGTTACAGGTGACTCGTCAGTTTGCTGTGTGAACCTGTTATATATCAGGGCTCTGGCTTTCAAAGCAGAACTTTAAATGTCTCTCAAATATGTACTGTGGTAAAATAAGCCTGTTAGCTCTACAATTTCTGACTGACATGAGTATTGCAGGGTTAACTTTGGTCAGCTGGCTGGAGCAAGATTTTCAGTTGGAGACAAGTCTGCACGCGCATGCACACCCATTTACATGTATGTAACAGTTTAATTACCTTATAAATAATCTGCAGGGTTTGCAAACTACCTAGTGCTTTTGATGTAGCTAATTTAGGTTTATTATGGAATAATACAGATTTCATGCAAGATTTCTTGCATGATGCGAGTGTCTGAAAGCCTCACGCCAGATGGCATCCCTGATTTTGACTCAGTAGTCCTGTAGCCTGGCATCTCCAGAGAGTGTGTGTGTGTGTGTGTGTGTGTGTTCCCCTGCAGGTACTCTGCTTTAATTTTGCACCCCAAACTGATGTATGTAAATTGCCCACAGTGTGTGTCACGTGTGTGATGTGTTTGCCCTGTGATTTCCCAGCTGTGGAAGATGGCTGCATCTAAATGTTTTACTCCCACTGGACATGGTAAAGATGGCTGCAGATGCATGAAAGTCCTTCTCTCTGACCTCAGAATTACCTGGAAGTAGCTGCATCAATTTATTTTGAATTTTACTATGACTTTAATTTCCTTAATTTATTGAAATCCTTCTGAATGTTGACCCAAAAGGCCATTATGAAGATGTGATTGTGCGCGTTAAGAAGGATATCTGTTTCATCTAGTATCATAGGCCATGGTTCAGTGCCATCATTATGCTTTAAGGTTTTAGCTATAGAGGTTATTAAGTTACAAATTTAGGGGTTCAGTTCAGTCCAGGTTCCCTGGTGGAGCTGGGTCAAGATCAGGTGATCATTTCAGACACTGCATGTATCATCCAGTGGGGTGGAAAAAACACTAAATTACAGTGATAAAGTAATTAGAAGTTTGGTTAAGTAATTAAGAGCCTTAAATAACCAAATTATGAAGGTGTAATTATACCAGGGGCTTAGTTCAGTGGATTTGGCTTGGCTCCTACTTCTGCTTTAATGGGTAATTTAAAAAAATCCCAGGCTCAGGTGTTTTCATGTATTGAGGCAATTAGATAAAAATGTAGGAGTTAACAAGGTCTGGGAGGTTGTTCTGCTGAAGCTGGGCTTTTTAAAGGAGATGACAGGCTCATCAGCGCTCTGTAATCTGCCGACCGTGAGCAGGAGCCGTGAAGCCGCACCGTGCCGGGGGCCGCTAAAGGGGGCCGCCCCCGGTCTCCGGGGAGACCTATTCCAGCTCCAGATCTCCTGCATGGGCTGGGAAGTTGGCCAGCTTGGCATGGAGCCTGTCACCAATGTGAGCACCTTCATTTTGATGTATAAAGATGAAGTGATCAGTCTATGCCCAGAATATGAATATATTAAATATTACTGTTTGTGGACCGCAGGTAGGTCCACTAATAATGATAAAATTATGAAATAAGTTTGTTCAAATTGATTGTGATTTGTGCCCTGCAATGGACTGGCATCCCATCCTGGATGTCCCTTGCCTTGTGTGCCGCGTGTTTCCGGGCATAATCCAGTGCTCAATAAGCAGTTACTGAAGAGGGGTTGGAAAAATAGAGAGAGGAAAGCGTTACAAGGCTTGACCGTTCGGACCTTTCCTATACATGTCAACCTAGCTGGAGCGGAAACAGTAAGATGGATGATTAAAAACCTGTGTGACTTGGTTGAGATGGTGAGCCACCAAAAAACGGCGGGGGCTCCTTAAACTTGCCGACCAGGATGGCAAAGGTAAAAAACGGTGAAACTTGCCGACTGATTCTCCTGTCATGTCTACTATGCAGCATGTCATCATTTTATCTGGTTTGGGTTACATGACAACCTTACGTCTGAGAGATGCCTACAGGCGTTAAAACACATGAGCTTCAGGGCTACAGCTTGAGACTTGACACCTATACTCTGCGGCACGGTGTCTTCTCCACATGACGGAAGCTGGTCCACAGCTGACATGCTTCACATCAATCACCTCTGTACTGAATAATGGTGATTCCTACCCGAAAGCGGCACAAGAGCCGCATCCTGGGCTCCTTCCTTTACCGTTACGTTGTGTAGACGGTGGCGATTACTTCATACCAGCAGTGCAACAAGATGGAGCCACACGAGCTGCCATTACTGGGGTAATTATTCAGTCACATGACACCCATTGAACCAGTAACATCTCAGCTCTAGATCACGAGTTTCTCTATAACTTTCTCCATTGGCCACCAATGCTTTTGATACACCACATTTGAATTAAATTTAATTAAATGAAAAGCCACTTTGTGGCTAGATAAAATTAGGGTTAATGAGACTGCATTATCAATAAAAATACCAAGCTCACACTCCGCACATGCTTGCTTTTCCAGTTTGTACAGTATAGACGCGCCTCACAAAAGATTCACCACCAGAGTCTAAGGCTGTGCATGGTGTCACCGCAGCCTGATTCTGATTCCTCCTGACCAGCAGGTCACCTGTGCTGATTTACACGTGTTTGGTCCCTCTGGATGTTTGCTGGGCTCACTGAAGATCGGGTGCCAGTCCGCTGTTTCAGTCCTTTTGCATGTATTCAAACACCAGTTCCTCTTCCCCCCCCCCCCCCCCCATGTTTTATGTTGTTCAGCTTATCAAACTCCTACCAAGGCTTCCAACAGCAGTAATGACTTCAATTAAATGACAAATTACATTCTACACCGTAAATGAACCAGCAGATGGAAATCAGAGCATCATCTCAGCTTCTGATGTAAAATGAGCGAATGGAAAAAGCAATATATAAATAACATCTAACCACCTTCCATGACCACTTATCCAGGACTGATTCCCAGTGAACCTGGAGCATAATCCAAGAAACAAGAGAGGGGAAAGCCAGACAGAGCAGCACCTGGACAGGATGACAGCCTATCGCAGAGCACTCACAGTCACAGGCTGCTGGGACAGAAATTCACTCCATATTCCTTAGCAGAAAAGGAGAACAGCTGGAGGAAACCAGCTAAGACAGGGAGGGAACATGAAAGTGTGGAGAGAACATGTGGAGGGAGCATGGAGGGAACATGAAAGCATGGAGGGAACATGAAAACTTGGAGGGAACATGAAAGCATAGAGGAAGCATGTGGAGGGAAGATGTGGAGGGACCATGAAAGCGTGGAGAGAACATTTGGAGGAAACATGAAAGCATGGAGGGAGAATGTGGAGGGAACATGAAAGCATGGAGGGAACATGTGAAGGGAACATGATAGCATGGAGGGAACATGAACGCATGCTCACTTTGTGTGGAGTGAGGAATCAGAAGCACAGCTTTTTCATCCAGAACACATACCATGTCTCTTGTGTGATACCCACATTAACTCTTTCTCCTTCAAACATTCCTTTCATTGTCTTTTGTGTTCCTGACTTTTAAGTCAATATGAAAATTTGCCCCAGAGATTTCCCCTAACCACCTGATAAAACTAAAAAACTATAAAAGATCTGAAACAAAGGTTTATGATGAATGAGAGCAGCTCTGCACCAGTCACTGACAGGGGGCTGAAGAAGTGCCTGTCATTAAACAGACCCGGGGGGTCGTGGCCTTAATTAGCTTTAGCATAATCGCAGTGGCGTCCTCCTCCGCTCCCCCGTTACTCCATGCCACTAAAGAGACCGGCAGGCACCTGATGCTAATGGGCTATGTGAAACGGCAGACCAGCCAGCGCCAGCGCGCCGCACTCTGCCACGAGGCAGCTCCGTGGGAGATGTGGAGACCACGTCAGCGCCTCGCGCTCTGCTGCATCCTCGCAGGCTAAAGGTGCCCGCAGAGACTGCCGGTGTGGCGACTCCCTCAGGCGACACCAAGCAGGTGTTCAGTGGGGACTTTGCAACAACAGATAATGAAAAAAGGAAAACAAGCTTTTCCTGTGACGTTTCAGTTAAAAAGGTAAAAGGCACCTAGTGTGAAGAGCACCCTAGTGTGCTCTTCACACTAATACCTCTAAATATAACGAATTTGCTAACTCTCCCAATGCCATCTTCAGACCAGATTTCTGATTTTAAGTTAATAATAAAAAAAAAACTTGAAATATATGGACGTTACTAATATAAACTGAACCATAATATAACGAACTAACCCTGCAAAATAAATGTGCACAAAAAAATGTAAAAACTCAATAACAAAGCATAATAAAAGAAAATGACAGGCAAAGCAAATGTTTACATGAAATTTAAACCTCTTAAAAATGGCCACAGGTTGGAAGGAAAGCTGTAAAATGAATTACGTCGAATCAACCAGAATGAACAGAAGCCAAACACGCCGCTCCTTCACTGGGGCTCGCACCAGAGCCTCATACGTCAAACGCACCCAGAAATGAGCAGACAGCGTAAAGAGTGAAAGCTGGTCACCTCCAGACGGGGAGAGAGGAGGTGCCATGTAGCCTTACCTGTGAGCAGAGATGGGAGGTGTGTTCTCCAAAGCTTCTGAGGCTTCAGCTGGCGTGCTGACAGCGCGGTCCTGTCCTCCGCCTTGGAAACAAAAACTAAGTGCTTGCAGTCGTACGGCAGTGTCTTCTTATAGTGACACCCCCCCCCCCCCTACCACCGACTTAGCCCAGCCCCCTTACCCCCAGCCAACTCCCCCCTCACCCAGCCACGTTACTACAACTCTCAGAGGGAGAGAGTGAACAAGGAGGGAGAGTAAGTGGGAGAGGAGGGGAGGGCAGGCGTCTTACGCACGCCACGGATGTGACCGCCGGTGACGTGCGAGCCCTTGCACCTTCCTGGAAGGAGCTAATGAGGCTGAACATCTACATCATGCGGATATTTATGTGCCACCGTACATAAGAATGAGGTCCGTACAGCTCCAACACGCGAGCAAATCCGTCACCCTAACACAGGTGGGGGCATCGACAGAGTCAGGGACGCAAAGTGCATTAGCTGTTTGGAGCATCATATCTTAGTGTCACGTTTAAATCACACGGACTCTATCAAGTCTGACATCATATCACTGAAACCAGTTAGACCCTTAAAAGGAAGGAATCCCCATTTAATCCTTTGGGGGGAGGGGGGGGGTACAGAGGTCAGGCAGAAGTGGGAGATACAAAGGAAGGCAGAGTATGAACAAACTATCAAATTGTCTGGTTTGAAATTAAGTATATATTTATTTATTTTATAAGATAAAATATACATGGATGTACGGTATATGGTCTGTGTTCATGTGTGGATAAATGTCCACATGACAAAGGAATTTGACATTGAAGTAAATCACAATTATAGCCACAGCTGAGTGATATTTGGTTACATGGCAGTTAACAGTGTGTGTCAGATACAAAACAGGTCTGGCAATCATTGCTGTGATATGTAAAGCATTGTTTTAAAGCAATGTGAACCGACTAGCAAAAAGGTTAAAGACTCTGCTTGAATTGCAAGAGCATCAGTCAAAAGAACTGGAAATGTATTTATTTAACATATGCTTTTATACAAAACAACAAACAATTGAGAAGGCAGGGTCAGCCAATCCCTGGAGTAACTGGGGTTAATGGGCCTCACTCAAGGGCCCAATGGTGACATCACTCTGCCAAGTATAGGATTTGAACCAACAACCATTCACTGTCTATTTTGCAGTCATTTTATTTTAATTTTTTCTTTTTATGCCATTTTGTTTTCTTTGTGGTGCATATTTCCTGACAAGCACAATTCAGGCAGCAGGTCGGAACAGCATTTCACTGCACAGAAGTACAGTGTATGATTGTGTATGTGACGATTAAAACTTAAAACCTGAGCGCAGTGTGCTAATGTGTTGAGTCATGGACCGCCATAGACTGCCACACCCATATAATGCGTCAATGGGAACAGTCTCCAAATTCATGATTACATACACCAAACATGGACAACGACCCTAAGCACACAGCCAAGATATCAAAGGAGTGACTTCAGGACAACTCTGTGAATGTCCTTGAGTGGCCCAGCCAGAGCCCAGACTTGAATCCGATTGAACATCTCTGGAGATCTTAAAATGGCTGTGCACCGACACTTCCCATCCAACCTGATGGAGCTTGAGAGGTGCTGCAAAGAGGAATGAGCCAAGCTGCCCAAGTATAGGTGTACCAAACTGCCCAAGGATAGGTGTGCCAAACTGCCCATGGATAGGTGTGCCAAACTGCCCATAGATAGGTGTGCCAAACTGCCCATAGATAGGTGTGCCAAACTGCTCAAGGATAGGTGTGCCAAACTGTCCAAGGATAGGTGTGCCAAACTGCCCAAGGATAGGTGTGCCAAACTGCCCAAGGATAGGTGTGCCAAACTGCCCATAGATAGGTGTGCCAAACTGCCCAAGGATAGGTGTGCCAAACTGCCCATGGATAGGTGTGCCAAACTGTCCAAGGATAGGCGTGCCAAACTGCCCAAGGATAGGCGTGCCAAACTTGTGGCATCATATTCGAAAAGACCTGAGGCTGTAATCACTGCCAAAGGTGCATCAACAAAGTACTGAGCAAAGGCTGTGAATATTTAAGTACATGTGTTTTTTTATTTTTAATAAATTTGGAAAAATCTCAAGTAAACTTTTTTCACATTGTCATTATGGGGTGTTGTGTGTATAATTTTGAGAAGAAAAATGAATTTAATCCATTTTGGAATAAAGCTGTAACATAACAAAATGTGGAAAAAGTGAAGCACTGTGAATACTTTCCGGATGCACTGTATATTGCTCATTACTATAAACATTATAGTAAATATTAAATCATTCATTGCACTGTACTTAACATTTTCCATTGGTTGCTAATTTCAACCCAGTATAGCTGTATTTAGCCTGTACCCAAAGCCTACAATGGATTGTATTAAACTACATGCGTCTTACGTCACAATTTCTGCGTAGCAGCAATTTGACCAGGGAATGTCGAAGCTGTTGAACGTTGCTCAGTTGCAGAAAGTTTGATGTTTATTTCAGTGCTAAAGAAAGATTCATATGAACAAAATGTATAGCAAGTGCTTAGTACTATAAAAAGACGTAATTGTTCAAGCAAAAGGGGCCGAGCCAGTTCTTCATAACATAAGGAAATAGTCTACCACCACAGTTGACTATAAAGTTTACGCGCAGTGAAAATACAATAAAATACACGCGCAGTGAGGCACAATAAAGCTTTCTTAAACTCATAATGCGCAAACACCACTTTGTCTTACAGAAAGTTGCCGAACATAAACTCAAACTGTTTTTAGATATACCCTCAAAAAATAAAAACGGGACCAGCGGCTGAGACGCATGATTTGCAACGTGAAGTTCACCAGTTTTACACGCGCACAGTTGATATAAACACTCCTACGTTTAGCTGATAGAAATTTAATTTTGTCCTTAGGAACAAAAGTAGCTAGCCTGATTTATCGCTAACGAAGGCTTCCATATATGACCAACCAAAGATGTCACTGCCTCAGCATATGCCTGTTGCAATTAACTAGAGCAGGGGTTATGCAGTGAAATAAGCATATATTGCTCACTAAATGTCCGTATAGGACAGAAAAAAAAACAACAATTAGCAAACTGCAGTGCTGTGCTCTAGATAGTTGTGAACTTGCTAGCCCGCTATAGCTAGTGATACTCTAGTTCAGGGGTCTCCAACTCTGGTCCTGGAGAGCTACTATCCTATTCTAGCCTACCTGGCTACTGATGAGCCACACCTGCTTCTGGTATTTACCTGAGAACTGGTGTGGTTCATCAGAAGCCAGGTAGGATAGAAAACCTACTGGATAGTAGCTCTTCAATTCCTTTTGATCGATGGCTTTTAGTCAAGCTTTCTCTCACCTTTCTGGTAGTTCTTTGGTTTCTTTGCCTTGATTTTTACGAACCGAAGGTATACAGAAAAAACTTTGATTTGGATTATTCTTGCTGCTCCTTACTATTCGTTCCCTGGTTAAATGGCCACCTCCTTGTTTTCATTTATGCATATGTCGGACAATGTCATCTGCTTAATACAACCCATTGTGTGACCATTAAGCTCATGGGAGTTTTCTGTATTTTACTACAGAAATGTTCTGAGGGCAGAAAGAAAAATGATTGGTTTAGAGCAGGGTTTCTCAACCCGGTCCTCGGGGACCACCAGACGGTCCATGTTTTTGCTCTCTCCCAATTCCCTGCCAATTGGGAGAGAGCAAAAACGTGGACCGTCTGGTGGTCCCCGAGGACTGGGATGAGAAACCTTGGTTTAGAGAGACCCCAGTTTTGGGGGTCCCCAAGTGGTTGCCTACTGGTACAGTCCGTCTCTGCTGATATGTGACCATGCTTGATAGTAGAGAACATTGGATTTAGTTAAAAATGTCAGGTCCGGTTGAGGAGCATGCTCTGGTACAGCACTTTGCCACACTCACCACATGACGACCTTGGGATCCCAGTTGGTGACCCCCCCCTGGCGACACAAAGGCCAGTCCCACCCTCTGGAAATAGCCGTCTATCTGCCGCAGCCAGGTGTTATGTGGGCGTCCCCTTGGCCTGGTCCAGCTGCTCGGGTTCTCAGTAATGAGGAGGGAGGGGAGTGAGGTTCCAATGATCTTTCTTGCAGCGTTCACTATGCATGGCTGGGTTTTTCGATCATTGATGGAGCAGCTTCTAAACCGCACAGTGATGCAGTTTGTCAGGATTTTTTCTGTGGTGCCTCGATAGAAAGAGGCCATGATCGGAATTTGTGGAGGAAGTAGAGGCGTTGTTGGGCTTTCTTTGCCAGTGATGCCGTGTTCTTTGACCAGGAGAGGTCCTCTGTGATGTGCACCCCCAAAAATGTGGTGCTGCTCCTTTCCACAGTAGTACCATTTATGGTCAGCAGGGGTGTTGAGTATGCGATCTCCTTTAGTCAGTGACGATCTCCTTTGTTTTGTCCACATTTAAGAGGAGGTTATTGTTGCTGCACCACATGACCAGTTGGTTCACTTCCTTCCTGTAGTTAGTCTCATCGTTGTTGCTGTTGATGTGACCCACCACTTTGGTGTCTGCAAACTGCTGTAGCTTGGTGTGCAGTCATGAGTCAGCAAGGTGAAGAGCAGGGGACTGAGCACACATCCATGTGACCCTACTCTTACTTGATATTAATTTATTCCCAGTTATTTTGTCCATCAGCTGAGTGTGAGCATATAAAATATATAATACACACTTGGTGACCAAACACAAACAGCTTGATCCTCCGAGCATTGAATCATGGGTCTGCACCTGAATACACACAGCAGATAGACAGGGTCAACAGGTTCACTTACTGTTCAATTAAGCATTAGAACAGTTAAGACACCTGATCTGAGCAATTTTGAACATGGTGCGATTGTTAGTGCCAGATGTTGTAGTTCCAGCGTGTCGGAAGCAGCCATCCTCCTGGTATTTTCACACAGTGTCTAGAGTTTACAGAGAATGGGGTAATGAACAAAACACATCCAGTGATTAGCATTTCTATGGCCAAAAAACAGCATGTTAATGAGAGGGGTTAAAGAACGGCCAGACTCGTTAAAGCTAAAGGGAAGGCCACAAGTGCAAATATACCTGCTCAGTATTCAGTGCTTCTCTGAATGCAGAACTTGTCTACTCTTATCATGCTTCTGGAGATGAAAGGGAGTTCTCAGTGTCACATATGTACAGTACATCTAGTAAAATGGCCACTGAGTGTATCTCTTTTTTTCCTCACATTACATACATCTGTTATGTATAGAATTTATTGTCACTATTAGCTTGCTCTGTCCCCTTATCCCTACATCCAGGCTTTTTATTGTCCTGCAGGGCAATGAAAACCACTCATGCTGACAAAGTCAGCAGGGCCTGCACTGTTTATGGGCACCCAAGACTAATTAACTGCTAAGATTGAGCAAAGGTCATTATTTTTGGGTGCTTAATTAATTTAGCAACGTTGCATGCTTTCTCTAAAAGCATATAAGCACAAAATATTCCACTAACCAGTAATGGCTGTTTCTAAAGTTCAAGAAGGGCAACAACCTCCTTCATCGAGTCTTACCACTAATTCTCCCATTCCTATCGAAAGCATCAAATTTTCTGACCTGTCAGCTTCTACTTACATTATGTTTTCATATGGAGGAATCTGTCTATAGTTGCACCACTTATCCAGTACAGAGTCACATGGGATATCGATCCTATCCCAGGAAAATTTTAGAACAAAGCAGCGATAAAGGAAACTGGATTACATGAAGAAATGTAAGACAGGGGCAATGATGTGACCAACTGCACCACCACATTGAGAACTGAAATGTAAAGATTTTTTTTTTATTTGGAACATTGTCATACTTAAACCCACATTTCCCAGACAAACTCCTAGTGTCACACAAATTTAGAAACACTTGGGACAATGGGAAGACAAGGCTGTGTTTGTTTACTTAGGCATTTGTCATCACCATGAAAATGTCGGGCACAAATTTTAAGCCATTTTAAGCATATGCCTGAAGGATTTTGGTATTTTTCCTACTTTAGGCTTTATTATTCTTTCTGCCCTCCCTGTCATGCCTCTTTATTTTACATTTGAATACTTAACTGGTGCTTTTATCCAAAAGCTGCTTAGCATTTTAGTGCTGTATACAGCTGGGTGATTCACACAAGCTGTGTGGCTTAAGCTTCTCACGTACAACTGCAGAGGTCTTCTGGGTGGGAAGACAGACAGGTCTAAGGGACACATGGATCTGAGGAGGGAATGGAGGCATTAATTTAGGGAAGGGGGTTTTATAAAAGCGAATTGAAAACAACATGGACTTTCACTTTGGGCGAGTGTAATGAAGTCTGTGCAAATATGTGGTTGGGGGCTTGGTCAGAGAGAACAGTATTGTTTTACACCCAGGGTCCCCAAGTATCTGCAGCTTAAATCCATCAGTAACGCAAAAAAATATATAATATAATTTAAAAATGCTGTTCACTCCAGCATGTAGTGTGTAGAGAAGAAAAGGGGAAATATTTTTATTAACTGAAGCTGAAGATGCACCTGACTTGCATTGCAGAACCTGCTGCCTGTGTGGTACAGGAAGCTACAGCACGGTCATCTGTAAAATGTAAAGGCCAGGAGAATAATCCTTCCTTCCTGGGGATGCTTGCTGGGCATTGTGTCACTGTGTGGGTGGGGCAAGGTTGAAGGAAGGGCAATTGATACTTAAGATAAGATGAACTCTATTGATTCTGGGGAAACATTCTAGAAATATTTCAACTGATGATTTCTTCTTTTTTTCTTTCTTTTATAATACAGTGTTCATTTTATTTCCTGTTTTTCAAAAGTTTGATTTGATTATGAATACAGACAGGAAGATGTGCGTGAAATTCCTCCTACCCTTAGTCTGCCGAAGGGTCTAAGCATTAGCGCAGACTGACCGAGGAGAGATGCTTTACTGAGATGTATTTCATAATGTTAAAAATTACCACGTAAAAAAGCATGCAAATATAGATTCATCCTACATGTAATGAACGAATAATCGTTCATGTTTCATGTGCAATTCTATTACTGTATGATAAAAGTATCAGTAATTAATTAGATATAGCAGCACCTGATTTACGTGACATCAGTGATGTTATGATGTTTTATGCTTTACAGGATCAGGATTGATCAATACACAATAAACTATATTGCAATAAAAATCTGGATCACACAAGTATACAGCACTTTAATATGAACAACTAATAGAGTCAGCAGATCCTAGCAGAAGCATGTGAGGTCCGGAGCAGCCCTCGGGGACACTGCAGTACAATATTGTCATTTACACTGAGGATAAAGGGAGGTCTCACTGACACACTGCAATGTTACTGAAAGTAATTACGTACGGTATTTCATATTTTTGCATTAAGCCTGATGCAGGTTAGTTAATCACCTACAGTGCAACGCTGACATAACGCTGAGATAACTCTATTACTATTTCCATATAAAAACACTATACTTCATTTATAGGAAAATAAAATAGGTTATTAACAATATGTAGGCCTATACCGTGTATAGAAAGTCTTCTATATGCTTGCTTTAATAAAATCCCAGTCACCAAAAAATATTTTTAAATTACAATGAGAGCAAAACAAATAAAAACGGAAAATTAAACCCTCAAAACAGACAGGGCCAGTGGACAAACAGTTAAACGTGAGTGACCTCAATTAATGATATAATTGCATTGTGACTTATCCAGAAGTCCACAATTACCCTCGTAGCAAGAAACACATTAGTGACCCTGAGGAGGAGGACAGGAGTGAATCACAAATTTGTCGTTCGTGTGGTTTTAATTTATGTAACGCCATACGGACTGTCATACGAGGTGTGACAGACGATGTGCAGGAAAATCCAAAAATTTTATTATGAGATTTAAAGAGAAGCCTTAATTATAATATATAAACTTTAAGAATTAAAGTGAAGCCTTAATTAACAAAGTAAACTCAATTTTATTGTGCTTAGCTGTCATTAGACATGACTGAATTTTAAAAAGGGAAAGTTAGGCAAACATCCAACTGTAGGACGGACCAGCCACGAGCTTAATGGGACATGCGCACCTCGCGAGACGCCAGAGGAATGAAGCAAAAATTTCAAAAAGTGAATGACGTACCACGTGCAAGATAAATGCGCGCAGACGACCAATCAGAGAACAGAGCGTTCTGACGTAACATAAGCGGGAAGTTGGAAGAAGGGAATCGAGACGGAAGTTGGGGCACTTTTTTTTTGCTTTTTACTCTTAATACTTAACGCTTACTTACTCTTAATTTACATAAATGTGGTCTGCTGTTGTCCATAACGTAAAGTTGATTTTGTATATTTTTCTGCGGCTCTATGTGGGTAAGTACAGTTTTCCTTTGTCACAAACTAATTCATTGACGTTTCTCCTTTTTTAAGTTTTTGTTGACGCTAGTATTAACAACAACAGCATCAACACGTTCGGTATAGAATGACTGGGTACTAAAACGGTTTTCATGGTTTCACTGACTAGGCACCATAGTGGATATAGATTAACAATGTACCAAACTTACTGAATTGTATTCAAGTATGAGAAACGTTGGTTTGTAAACTTACTAACAGTCATAGGCCAGTATGAAGTAAAATGCAAAGCTTTTAAAAGAAAAACTAAAGTAACCTAAATTCCCTTTATTTTGTACCTAAGAAGTCAGGTGTATATTTAAGATTATGTGTGAAAATAGTTTCTGCTTTTAATATGAAATCGTAAATTTAAACAGGCTTCTGTGTATTGAATTGACACATATTTTTTTCTGGCTGTCACAACACAGAATTTCAGACAAGAATCACCTCTACGGAGAGCCAGTTTTCAGTGGAGCACTGAGTGAGTGATCAGATGGAGAAGGTGTATATCCTGGAGCGGGAAGTGGGTCGGGGCAGCTATGGGGTGGTTTTCGAGGGCCGTGTAGCCAAGACAGGGCCGTGGGGTACCCGGGGCGATAGGGTTGCTATTAAGCGCCTCCCCTGCAGTAGCCCCGAGTGCATCGAGCTGTTCCTACAGGAGCTCTGGGCCATGAGAGCTACAGCTAGGAGCCACCCCAATGTCATTGCCCTCCACTGCTGCCTTCATCAGAACGGACCTAACATCCTTCAGCCCCTGGGGGCAGGGAAGCTACCGCTGGACCTGGTAGAGAGCGCCCTCAAGGGCAGCGTGAAGGGGTCATCTCCGACCCACAAAGGCACAGCCACTAAGACACGTGGGAAAATGTTGCCTCTGCAACCTGCTGCCATCAGCTGCTCCGCCCTGTGGCTGGTCATGGAGTACTGTGACGGCGGTGACTTGAACCGCTATCTGCTGTCAAGGCCCCCAGACACCCAGAGGAACTACAGCGTGATCCAGCAGCTGAGCAGCGCCGTGGCTTTCCTGCACAAGCTCCGGATCGTGCACCGCGATTTGAAACCCGACAACGTGCTGGTGCAGAACACCCCTGCTGGACCGCTTATCAAGGTGCTTGGAGTCCTGGTCCCCATGAGAGCCTTTGAGAAATAAAGCAGCGTTCAGAGGTTGAGAAACTGATAAATAACAGAAAGGAACAAGACATTAAGCCAGGAGGGGGGGATAGTTTATCATTTGATTATTTGGAAATGGTTTGCTGAAGAAATATTTGTATGGTAATGTGGGCAGTAGGTTTAGTGTGAAACTTACTGGAACATGCAGTTAAAATTACAAAAACCAAGTGTGCTTATCACAGAGCGCACATTCAGAGTGCAAATGAGAGTTTCTCTTAGCGGTGATCGTATTTGTTGATTAGAGTAAGGCCGCTGGTTCCATATTGATTCATACGCTTCATTGCAGTTCTCCATTCTGCATTGTTTGCAGTTTCATAGTTTAAGAGTAGATGACTATTGGTTTTGTGTTAATTTGTGTTAAACTTTTTCTTTGTCATGCTTAAGGATGGTGGGAATTTGAGAAGACTTAATAGATCCAAGAAGGGTTTGGATAAATCTTAGGATATAGGTGCATATTAGCTGCATCATAATTACCATAGTTCATAACATTCATGGTGTAACTTATGGAAAATCAGTTGAAGCTCTGCCTAGCAACACTTGGACTCCTTGACAGCTATATGCTGTATTATCTGCCTCACTTGTAAGTCTCTTTCAGCAAAACAATCTTCAAATATATATACAGTAAGTGTAAAAGTAAAGTTTTCCTTCTCTGTTTTGTCCTGCGGTAGGTTGCGGATTTTGGGCTCAGCAAGATGAGCGAAGGATTGGCAGAGGGGCATCTCAACAGGAAGTGTTTCTCCTCCACCTGCGGTTCGGACTTCTACATGGCTCCAGAGGTGTGGGCTGGCCGTAGCTACACCGACCAGGCAGACATCTTCTCCCTGGGCGTGCTCTTCTGGGCCGTGTTAGAGAGGATCACCTTCCTGGAGGATGGCAGCACGCAGGAGCAGCTTGGTGGGTGTCTGCCAATGCAGAAGGGAGTCTGAATAAAGGGGAGGGGCTAAGACTGTGATCCAGCTGGTTGTATAGTAGTGGAATTATGTTGTCCTCTTATAACTGGTAATTTTATTACATATGACATATAGTGAATATAAATGGAAACTCTTATTCATAGACATTTTTTCCAGTCTTTCGTTGCTTATGCATATGGTTCTTCCTGTATTTTAGCTGCTAATCACTTCTGAGTGCCTCCACTAATTACAACTTATTTGTGGCAAATCTGAGCATTATTTCAGGGTTATCAAAAGCACACAGCAACTCCTATTCTGTGGAGCAGAGCCCTCACAGGGGGAGGGAATTGGAACAATTCCATTTTCCTTTTCCTTTTAGGTTCCACCCTTGCTCGCAGATTAACTTTTTAGGGGTTTGTCTGCCTGAGCGTGCATATTTAATGTGTGATGCAGGAACACGCTACCCGGCACTGGTTGTCTGATAGGCTTCTGAAAAGCTGCTTTGTCTGCTAGCAGGTACACGCTGCATCTTCCATTAAAAACACAGCAGTAGTGACAGCGTTGAGTTTCCACAGGCCATTTGCGCATAGATTGGGTAATAGAATGATGCAGTGTAGCTGATGGTATACATCCTGATGCTGTGTTCATGTCCCTGACGCAGGTGCCTACGCGTGCCGGGGTCGCTGGCTGGTGCCGCTGGGTGAGGCCCTAAGCGAGAACCCGGACCTGCAGCTGGGCATCCCTATGAGGGCCCGGCGAGCCTCTCCTCTGCCCGCTCCCCCGACACCACAACTGTGCGCTCTGCTCTTGGACATGTTGGCCAGCGACCCGGCCTCCCGGCCCACGGCCTGCCAGCTGGAAGAGAGGGTGCACTCTGCCACAACCTCCCAGTGAGGGCCAAGGCCGAATGGTGGTCGTCCTTGGGTTCCCAAGGACCGGGTTGGGAAACGCTGCATAAGTGAGAGGGATGGAGTGCTTTCTTTAAGGCAGGGTCATTCAAATCACGGTCCTCGAGGTCCGAGCACTGCTGGTTTTCCAGCCTT